CTTCTAAACGCCTTGAAATTGGCCTCTGTCTCTTTAAGAACCACCTTCCGCTTCTGTCCCACCCATTTCGGTGCTGGGGGGATCTGCATGCGTGCTATGATGAAGTTTATTTGGCATCTGAAAATACATTTCCTCAAAGGTATTTTGAATCTGAAAAGAGCTTCACTGAATGAGAAGTAGTGTTGAGCAGCAGACAGTTTAACTTTCACTTTCACTTTCACTTTCACTTGTTGGCTTTGTTACTGCCGAGAGCCTGCAGGAGTCATGGGCAGGGTGTGTGGGGTGGGGAGGTGTTTCTGGTCCCAAAAGGTATTTCTGGTCCCCACCTGTCGTTTTGCTCCTCAGCATGGCTTCCTAAAAACGCTGCAGGATTTCTCAAACATGCATGAATGAGTCAGAGCAAGGCTTTGGTCATGTTTTTTTATGAGAGTATAAAATTATAACATGATATAAAACTCAAAAAAGTTGATTTTACATGATATTGCCCCTTTAAGTTTAACAGGAGTCAGACTGATGTTTAAAATTACTCAGTAATTATCATCAATATCGACAGATATGAAAAACTTATATTGTGATAAGTTTTTCAGTCATTATCACCCAGCCCTACAATTAACACATTTATTTAGCTGTGCAGTGTGAAACGCTCACTCTTGGAACAAAATGTATTTCACTAAGTTCAAACCACGGATTACTTAATGACTGCATGAAAACATGGACGGCAGTAACTCTAGTTTAAGTTTCTAAATATCTAATGTAGTTTATATATGTGAGCACTGGGGTGCAACGATACATAAAATTCAAGATTCGGTTTGGTTCGATACTTTAGTCTCACGGTTCGATATTTTTTCGATACAAAAAAAGAAAAATTTTCATGCCCTTTTTAACTAATATTTTATTTAAATTAATTCTGAACATTTGTACAGTTTTTAAATCAAATGTTGCTGAAACAGCAAGTTTCTCAGTGGATCTGCACTCGACAATGCAGCCTAGGTGGAGTAGTCGAACACAGATCCACTGATCCTTCAACACAGAGCATCTTCAGAAGACAAGTTGATAAAATAAATTTTAAAAAATCTGTATTGCTGGATACAAGTGTGTATTTAACCTAAAGAGCTGTACTGAACGGTTCGATATGGGTACATGTATTGTTGCACCCCTAGTGAGCACCAGTTTATTGGACTATTTTATTCTTCCTCTAAGTGAAGAAGACTCTGGGCTTTAACTTCAGTTTATCTCAATGTTGGCTGAAAAAATGTCTCGGATAATGCTGTCAGCTTGACAGCGTCCACTGTCACAGTTGTCATGTGACTGAGTAGGAGGATCAATACTGTAGGTGTCATATTATTTATTAAAGGAAACTGATGATAAATTAATCCTWATCTTAAATTCACTCAGTTATTTTTTTAAATGGTTTGGTTACAAAATAAAATTACCTGCCAGTACCACCACTATTAGTTTTTTCCCTTGACCTTGTTATCCTGTGAGAAGAAGACAGCCTCCATCACTCATGAATCAGTCCATCCATTAAGTGCAGACAAAACCCTGAGGTCAAAACCAAGTTGAAGCCTGTGTGTTTGTAACCTTCCAGCCCACAGAAGGCCAGAGGTTAACACAACACTGTTGTTGTTTGTGTGTGTGCATGTGTGTGTTTGATGTCAACACCATCACGTCCACCTACCCAGTGTGTTCCATCAATCAATGTTAATCCAAGTGTAGGAAGGAAGCTCGCAGACTGAGCATGTCTGTGCCTGTAACAGAACATAGAGTGGTCCAGACATGGACCCACCTCCCTCCTCCTCCTCCTGCTCTTTCCATTCAGTCTTTAAACGGTAATCTGTCTGACCATCTCCGTCTCCCCTCCTCAGGTTCCCTGTGGCCGTCTACAAACCTTTAGCTCCGATCCAGCTCCCATCCATCAGCCTTTAGTGGCGTTCTCTACCACACAAAGGAAGAAGTCAAGACAGGAATCTTCCTGCCTTTAGTTTGACTCCAAGTTCAGCATTAAATCAGCGAGGTGGCAGACAGATGGGCTAGGTAACATCACCCACCCCCCTTCCTACAGGTGTTTACAAGCCTCACTAGCCTTTGCAGAGCAGCACGGCTTCAAACACAAACCCTTTTCACTGCACAGCAGAAAACAACAACAAAAAGTAGCATTGGGGCAATTCATTTAAAAACCACAGAACAAGAACCAACATAAAAGATTTGGAAAATCATCTGCAAGATCAGCCACCAACGCCTTATCAATTGTAAGAATCTTAATTTCTATATAAGTGGGCACAAGCCAGGCAGAATATGTGGAAAAGCCTACGAGGAACACTTCAAACCAAAAATAACTTCCCATGAGAAATGAGATGAAGTTGGGGACACAGCATTGAGCCTCCCCTTATCCTGCTGGGGGCTAAAGTGCTCTGAGTCTCAGTGGCAGATTGCACAGGGCTGCACGAAGCAGACCGTCAACAATAGGCACCAGTGTGCATCCTTCATTAATCCTGCAGCATTTACAGTTACCCAGCGGTGCCAGGCCCGGCAACCAATGAGTGGCCAGACTGCCAGGCCAATGGCGCCACCCTGCTGCCCCCAACACATTCATCTTCCCACCAGGGAGGTTAGGGCTGCCAGACAGACAAACACTCAAGACAGCGATCAAGACCGAGGGGGAGAGGGACAATGGGAGAGAAGGACCTGAAGAAAGTAGCAATGGAGATGCAGATGGAGATGAGGAACTTAAAAGGGAAAAATAGAAAAGAGGGAAGGATTTCAGAGATGGAAAGAAGAAATGGAGATCAGTGAAAAAAGAGAAACGTAAAAAATAAAAAAAGACAAAGAAGCTCTGTTATGACATGTTGCATCTGATTAAGGRGGCCCCAGGATCTTGGCAGAGGTGTTGGTCTAAGACCAGCCAAGGAGGAGGAAGAAATGGACGCTTCAACTAACATATGAAACCGTTTGTTTGGGAATATTTAACAAATTTAAATGATTTGTGCCAAATGTCACTCCTCCACCACTGTACTTACACAACTTCAGGTTCAACAACTACACATATATTCCCTAAGACAGAAAGAAAAGCTTATAAGGACTGGAGAACTGTTACACAAATCTGGGCAATAAAATTACAGGTTCCATGAATTATCTCAGGGTTTGTGCTCAACGTAATGTGTTTTACTGTACTGTATACATAGAATCCAATCATCAAGACTCAAAAAAGGTCTTTAGAAAATCTATCATCAAATTTTAACGGTCTGTTGTCTGCTTCTAATGCTGCGCAACTCWTTAATTGCTTCACATAAATGGGCCATGGCCAGTTATTCAAAACTGGTTTCCACACAAAACRTAGTGGTTTATAATAGAAATCAATCCAACAAAAGTGAGCGTGGGTGTTTTACACAGTTTTTTCAAGAAACAGCATTAATGACCTTCACTGTAAATTGATAATTCAGTTTGTACTGGCTCAAAGATGTGAACATTTAATGAAACAACCATGAATACATGAAGTAGGAGGAAAAAATTACATGAATAATAATTAGATTGTGTTTACACCATTGAAATCCAGAGAATTAATGTTGAATAAGTCTGAGCAGGTTTGTTTCTATAAGCATCTGTTTGAAACTAAAGCAGGTATAGTACATTTAAATCATTTAGTATTAATGTGCTGTACAGATGTATAAAAAATATAATTAGTGAAACTGACTTTGGCTAAAGGGTTGGCTTCCCAAACTGAATCTTTTTGTTGCACAAAATTTTGAGGCAATCGCTGCAATCAAGTATTTTCTGTAACTGTCTAATGACAGGTTTGTTGTTTCACTACCCATGAGCAAAATGATGGGACTTCATGCTAAAAGCAGGTCCAGTTCTGTCTCATCTGTTTGAAGGACATTTTCCCAGAAGCTCTGTGTCTTTCTCAACATTGGTTTTAATAAATTCCAGTCTGGGTTTTATGACTTGTGTTTACTTTGTCTCAAACAGACACAGATGAACACCTCTGTTGTTCTGGACCCTTTGGTCCCTGGATGTGTCCAAAAGAGGACAGGTTGCCTCCAGTCCTGTGGACCTTCTGAATAATCTGAGCAGCTGTAGTCTCAGGAACATCCAGCTGCTTGGAGACAGTCTGAAGGTCTTTACCTTTAACATGATGTCCATCATTGTCTTTCTGAGCTCCTGAGACACTCTGTCCTCTGCTGAGACACAGAATGCTGCTCCACAATGCAGTTCTAATAATAATTTCTCATTTGAAAAATTCCACTTTATAAACCTTGTTCTAATTGAAAAAAATCCATATATATATATATGTACAGCGGGTAAAATAAGTATTGAACACGTCACCATTTTTCTCAGTAAATATATTACTAGAGGTGCTAATGA